CGGAGTAAAGGAGAAAAGCAGGACGATGAGTACCCTCCCTGGAATGAAAACAGAAAAAGGGAGAGGTGGAGAGTTAGATGGTGATAAAGAGCATAAGAGCTGTGAGTAGGAGAAATCGGTGCTATTCAGGACCTTCAGTGAAGCCTCACTGAAGAGATGACTAACCCAGAGCAGATTATAGATCAGAGTTTTGACTCAGCGCAAATTAATGACAGGGGGGAATCCAGAGGAGTGGCCTCCATAAAACTTCTTAATATAATTATGGAATGGGACTCAAATATAATTACGGATTGCCACTGAAAAGCCACAGTGTAAAGTCTGATGTGAAAAAGCTTAATGTCATTTTCCCGGTCTATATTTGTGAAAAATTGCTCTTGACATCCTGTAATGGCCCTTTATATTGCCTAGTCTGTAGTCTGTGAAATCACAGCCCATTAAATAAAACATTCATAAGACATTTAGTATCTGCTCTATCGTCCTCATAGTCGGTATTAGCTGGTTTAATCAGCATTGCTGGAATGAAGCAAATATATTTAATTGTTATAAACACAGAGGGCTGCAAATCATTGATATGTATAACTGTATGTATGCAAGTATAACTGATCTATCCATGCTTCACCCATGAATACAGTCTTTCATAGCAACTACTGCAAACTTGGACAAGCTTTACAGAACATTGACTAAACTTCCACTGAGACTAATAGGACAGTGTAGCGTATCTTGTGTAGAGTTAACATTGAGTTTAAATGCTGCTTTACCAATAGAAAGTAGGCAGGTTGGAACTAACAAAGACACATTTGCAACCATGCTAACATTAGCTTGATTAGAAAAAAATCCACTTTCTCCTAACAGTAGCCACGTTTACATGCAGCCTAATAATCCGTTAATAATCTGACTAATGGCTCAATCGGAATAGAATACGTCCATGTTTACACCTCAATCAGAATAGACTGGTCTGATTGAGGCCACTTGGAATACAATTTCTATCCTATTGAACGAGGTGGGTAATCCGGTAAATAATCGCTAAATAGAAGAATAATAGCCATGTAAATGCCTGTATCCGATTACATTCCCAATTGAAATGTGTAAGTACATTCTGCGCATGTGCGTCGCGTCATAGCGAAAGTTTATAACGCTCAACATGGCAGGAGCAGAGACTGATCTGCAGAGGAGACGAAGTTTAAGCTAAAGACGGCGGTGGGATGGGCGTCCAGCTTGTGTGTCTCAGAACATGACATCTTCCTCTCCTCTGTGAAATACGTTTTTCTGCCATAGTTTTAAAGCAATTAAAAACACAAGCACACAAAACGAAAACTCGTCTCACTCTGACTGGACCTCACGTGATGCTCGCTGTCATGGTAACATCAACACTAAGTGGTGCTCTACGCATGCGCATCATTTTGGATCTGATTACTTGTAGTGTGCATGTAAACATAAATTTTCCATCACATTGTTGAGTAGAGTGCATATAAACACCTCAGTCTTAATCTGTAATTGGAATGTATTCAATCTGATTGGCAAAAATCTTTGCATGTAAACATAGCCAGTGTGAGCTCAGTGTGTCTCATACATAACAAATTAATGTAATTCATATTTAATAACACTCTAAATATAGGTAATTTAACAGGACAAGAGTTGTATGCTACTATTTCTCATTAGACTGGGATTTTAGCCAGTATTCTGTTCAGTATTAAGCTTGTCTAACATCACAATAGTCATGACAAAAGAACTCATGTGTGCGGAGCATGGACAAGTCAACTGAGCCCCCTTTAGGACCCTGGGAGGGAGTTGTCCTGTTCCCCACCCCCAGAATTTACCACACCGCTGGGGGGTTTACAGGTGGTGTGGTCAAGCAGACTGGCTCTGGCTTCAGGTGCCTGAGGAGGTGCAGTTTATCAGATTAAAGAAAGCAGAGAGAGAGAGAGAGAGAAAGAGTCAGATAGAGAGATAGAGAGAAAGAGACAGAGACACAGAGAGAGAGAGAGACAGAGAGATTCATATCAACAGATTTCACAGGAAATTATGCACTAGAAAACCTCTACCCAAATGTTGAAAAATGAGAAAAACTATGATTATCCTTGACACAGGACACAAACATCTCTCATGTGGTAACACGCCTCTGCCTGAGGGATGATGAGTAACCAACTGCTCACTATTACCCCACTGATCCTTATCAGCACCCCCCATATGCAAGAAATATCGTATCATAAGAAGTCCTTTTATCACAAAAATGACAGATTAACAGGAGCAGGAAATACATCCCTGATTTTAGTGTCTATTAATGTAAGAAGACTTACATTATACATAAGACAGGTTCTGTTAGCCCATTTGGCATGAAACGTTCATAAAACGTTCTAAAATAAAATTAAAGAATAAATAAAAACTGAAAATATAAAGTTGCCAAATTTTCTTTTGACAGAGACATTATTATTATTATTATTATTATTATTATTATTATTATGGTTAGCTCTCTGGCTGCTACTGCTTCACAAAACAGTTAAACTTTACTATTCTTGGCAACAGTGTACCCCATAAAGTCATCCCAATAAAGCAGCATTGAATTGAACTAAAACATATAGATCACTCTCAAACCCTTGTATTCGAGGTCCTTCACAGTATCTTGCAAATTTTTGTGCACAATATCTGTTTAACATATTGAAAAAAAGTGCAACTTTTGCACAGGTCACATTTTATGCATTGTTAATATGTTAAATTCAGCAAGTCAACAGTAATTGTGTTCTCTTAAGAGGATGTGTTTATTTTCAAGAGAGAGAGAGGGTGAGAGACAGAGACAGAGCTGAGCTGACCTCTGTCACTGACAGGCAGGGTAAGAACAGACTGGGCTTTGGATCTGGACACCAGCCATGATGACAGCCTCTTCATCTCAGCTCTACTCCGTCCATAATACACATCACTCATAGCGAGTGTCATATTAGAAACGAGCACTTTGTGGAGTTAATTGCATGCCATCACAGCTAAAGCTGTATAATATCAGCCTTCTGTGGTGTCTATATCGGATACTAATCTCTATTTTCATGCACATGTCTGCTTCTGACACTGATCAATTATGAGTTATGAGACTGTGTGGAGTCCAGGCAGGTTTGTGCAGTAACTTAAGCAGCTTCAAATGTATTGTTTTCCGTTTGCCACTGTCTGCCGTATACCACACACCAACTAATCTAAACCTCCTGGACACACTTCATTTTCCCATGTTCCTCAATCTGAAACAAGCGTTCAACACAGCTCAGCTTAGTGACTAAGAAATACACATTAATAACAGTTTGGAGTCAAACTCAAAGATAGTTATACCATAAAAACAATTCCAATATTCATTTACCATTAATGTCATTTTATTAAGTAACAGTGAAAGTAAATAGCTCACTGCAAAGCAATAGTCTTCCTGCAAAGCACATCTCAGGACAACACATGTAGTGTTAATCTTAACAGTAACCAGTAGCAGTGCTGTTGATAATTTCATATTTATTAACAGTGTGGTTGGATTTTATGCTATAAGCAAAATATAAGAAGTTCAATAAAAAGCCTTTGAATATTATACCTGTTGTGGGACGATTCCCATGCGCGTTAGAGATTTTTAAAGATATTCACTTATTAATTTTGAAGATCTGGAAGGAATCTGCTCCTCCAGCAGAACCTCTCCACTTGTCCTAATGAGATATGAGTGAGAATTGAGTTTTTGAAAAATTGCGCCCTGTGGTAAATTAAAATTTTCAGAACCTGATACGTTTTGTCCTGTGTACGTTTTTCTCCTGAATATCACTAGAGCCTCTGAATTATGAGGTTGTTAAAGAGTCGTAATACTAATATCGCTACATGCAAGCTAATGCTAATTTGACGTAACTAAGCTTTGGGTCGGAATGTCCTACTGTAGCACATATTTATGCATATTTATAGATTGCTCTGTACATAAAAGTTCTAGGTAGGATATTTTGATAGCCTAAATCTCTTTATCAAAAAATACTACCAGCATTAAATCTACAAGGCTGAAGTTAGTTTCTTTTTTGCCAGCTTCTTATTGGAGTTTTCCTGTTCCACTCTAGCGATAGTGATTAGCTATCACAACTACCAGTCTACAAATTACGTTGCAAACAGCGATGCTCTGATGTAAAGCCCTATGAGCTGGTACAGGCCTTTTAGCAGATAGAACACAGATGTTGGTCAAAGTTGTAATGACATTCAATTATATGACTTTAAAAAGACATATAACCCAAAAGTAACGTACAGCAATCGTATTAAATTTTTTAGTGGAGTAATCCTTCGGATTAGGTTACAATTACATTTTTAAACAGATAATCAGTAATCTGTAAGAGTAACCCTCCCAGCCATTTTCATACTGCCCCATTCCTGTTGAAGTCTATATCTGATGATTCTAACAGAGCTTTCAGGACCTCACAAGGAGTGAAAACAAAAGCATGCAGTCACCTGGCCCTCCTCTCAGGCTGCAGTCAGGAAGGAGCGCTCGCTGCACTGTTTGTTATCGTCCCGCAGACAATGAGGAGGAATCTGAGGACAAAGAGAGGGGAAAGTGTGCTTTCCACTGACAGCCAGAGCAGTCTGCCCCCACTCCCCACGGTCAACACAGGCACTAATAGCCCACAGCCTCAGTTTGCTTTCAGTCAGCGCTTCAGGTTAGCGCTAGTTGGACTTTGCTGTAATAGTTACTGAACTTATAAGGCTTGAGGGGCCTGAACTGTTTTATCCTGAAACAGGTCATTAATCAGAAGGGAAGCCTTTGTTTAACAGTAGCAGTGCTGTGATGAATGACAGAGGCTGCTAAGCTGTGTATGACTGAATAGAGGTTGTGTTTGAGTAATCTGAGGACACAGAGAGAGAGAAAGAGGATGACAGAAGCCGGGAGTGGGGGCAGTGGGGGGCTGACTAGTCAACTGGGTGTGTGAGACGACTCCTCAAGTTCTGCCCAGTGAAGAGGGTGTGTCTGGGAAATCCTAAATCACTCCCCAGAGGGGTAGAGAGAGAGAGAGAGAGAGAGAGAGAGAGAGAGAGAGAGAGAGAGAGAGATCCTAAGACTCCTGAGGAGAAAACCACCGGCACAGTTTGGCGTGGTCTGCGGAACTGGGCTGTTTGTTAAAAGCTGTTGCACGCTGGTCTTGTTGTTGTTCGTCAGTGGGAGTTTCAGCTGTAGTTGAGCATGCCAGCTACAGCACTGTGAGCTGCTCTTACCTGCTACTCGGAGACGGGAAAATACACATCTGTTTGTGTTCATCGGGACACTGCGGAGTACTTTCAGACAGGTGAGCTTCAGAGTTGAAACTTGTTACAGACACAGAGTTTTGATGTGTTGTCTATGCTGAAAAAATTGGAACAGAGCAAAAGTTTTTTTAAAGTTTGAATTGATGTAAAACGTTACTTTTGGTTATCTAAACTAAACGTTTGCTTTGTATTCTTTCATTCAGAGTATTCAAGTGAGTAGTAAAATAGCTTGTTACCACCTGCAGAATGTGCTTTTTAAATGTGTGCTTTGTTTACTCTGCCTTCCGCAGACACCATTCATGCAATACTCTCTGTAGTTTTCTTCAAATACACTTTGTATTATTGTTTTGATTGTTCAATCTGTCTAATATTGTGCTATGCGTACTGCATTACTGACTCCATTTACCACATTAGTATTTATCTACTCTGTTTCCGCACTTTTGTATTGTTTTGGTAAACAAAATGGTTCACACTTTATTTTGCAAGTCCCCAATACTAGAGATTATCTTAAATTGCAAGCAGACTGTCTGGAAAACTCATCTGATTTTCAGCAGTGTTGGGGTTGGGATTAGATTTGGGATACGTTTTGATAGATTATGTTACAGTAAAGTGGGTTTCCACTTGTCTTTCAAAAGACTGCATCAGTAAAAGATGTGAACTAAGTGTTTCAGAGTGGTTTTAGGTTAAATGCGCTATTCTAGAGAAATTTACCAAGTCTGAATCGTTCACATGAGGGGTGATAGGGGCCAGACGTCTCAAGCATTTAATGCTTCAGGTTATTACATGAAACGGTTATGAATACTCTGCCTAGTGCTTGAGATATTGTTTTATGGTAGCTTTGAGATGTGTAGGTCACTGGTTATTTTGGATAGTAAGTATAACTGTTATATTTACATATTGTAGACATTGTAACCCCTGGTTCCTACCACCACCACTGTAAACAAATCTGATTGGTAAGTTTCTCTACAATGAACTACTTCACGTCAAACTACACTGGATGACTTAACAGTTTGTAAATTCGGTGGAATTTCTCTTTCAATTTAAAGTTTGGTTGAGTTTAATATATATTTAGTTGAATGTTAGTCAAAGACAAGGCGAGCATCTGTAGAGCATCTATAGGGGGCTCTCAAAATAGAGTGTTACTGTTCTGCATGCCAGGCATTAAGGGCGGGCCAGTCTATTGTCACTTTATAACTATGTAGTAACACGCAGCTGACTGTATGTCAGCCCGTTATCCCATTATTTTACTTTATGAATTTATTTTTGACAGTTGTTTTTTTGATAGTTCTTCCTGTTTCTTCATCTAGTTCATTTAGTGATTGCTGTATCAAACAAATCATGTACTCTGTTTTTCATAGCCTTTTCTAATTGGCACTACTTTGCTGGTTTGCAAACTGCTGATAAATGAAATAATGTGATACATATTGATGCATGTGTATCGTGACAATGTGTTCAATTATTATGATGTTACATTTGTGCCATGTTCAAATTTTAAGTGTTATTGGATGTGACTTTCAATTGGATGTAAATTGCATGAATGTGTTAGAGTCAGTTACTGAGTCTGCTGCGGTGGTGCATTTGTTTCTATATGTTTGTGAATCGGTTGCTTATTGCTGAGAAGGGGCTGTGTATGTATTTGGGGGGTGCTACTGTTTCTATGGACTAGAGTGGCAGCTACCGCTGAGAGCTTTAATAACTTTGTGATGGATATGCCTCCCATCTTTTGGTTTTGGCTCACAATCTGAATGCAGCGCTGCAGGACGCACCATAGCAGCATGTTCTCTATAACACCCCCCCACATAACCCCAAACAAAGCAAGTGTCTGTGAAAAGTATTGTTCCTCAGTGTCGTTTGCTTTGAAAGACTGGCCAGGGGCCATAATAATCATCAATGTGTGAGTGGCAGTCACTTTACGCTCGTCAAAACTTGCTTCCTTTATCTAATTCTGACTTTTTGTTCTTCCTCAAGCATTTGTTCATTTGTAGCGTGGCTAAAACAGCTACTTTTAGCCCAGTGGCTGAGAGGCGGATATGACTCCTGGCTCCACGCCTTTGGGTGAATGGGCGTGTTGCGTTCACAGCTTTGCGTGTATTTTTGCACTTCCTACGCTGATAAGAGCGTCACGGTCAGCCATTCTCCGGAAAAGCAGACTATGAGGATACTTAAGCTTTGATTTGCGGCTGTCCGCTCTTATGGCTCTGTATCATGGTAGAAAAGAGCTGAATGGTGAAAGTGTTGTGGCTAGGGTGGAGGGAGTGTGTTGATGTATGGCTAGCCATATGTCCAGCTCAGTGGGGAGAAGAGCAGCAGCCTACAATGGAGACTTTAGATCATTAGTGTTTTGTCTACTTCTGATTTGCTGCTCGCATGGAACAGATTCTATTTTTAAGGCTCTTCCATTGTTAGAGATGTTGCTGGCAGTGGATAGTCTAGAACAACTACAAGCAGAACTGAGTGAGGTTGTAATAGATGCATTGAATTTAAATAGAAACAGAGTTCAGTTAGAATTAATTAATAATGCATTATTTCATAGAATAGCTGTTTCAAGCTTTAAACATTGGGCAAAAATATCATTCAACCCAACGAGAAACTGTAGTGCACTTTGTATAGAGTTTCTACCTGATGTATAGTTTCAAACACTACACTACTGAGCTGGACTATGTTGTTGTAACTAACTAAAACTAAGGAATTTGGAAATGACAATAATGAATTTGCCACCATGTTAACATTAGATTGATTACATGACAAAAAAAGGGAAAAACCAAAACAAATATCAGTCGAAATATATGTATTCTGTCAGTCTCCTATGTTGAATGTTCTATTAAGCTTGTCTAGTCTTGCAACAGTTGCTGCAAAAGTACACATCTATAGGTGGAGCCTAATTAATGACCAAGTATAAAATGAATCAACTCATAGGTTTATTTGCATACTGCTACTAAGTTATACTGCTACCAACGCACTTAAATCTGTTTATGATACATCAATCTATTAACGATAATACTATACTATTCTACACTAGTTACATTAAGGCAATAATGTACATTTAGACAAACAATTATTGTCTGCAGAATTGTTGCGATAAACATTATTATCGTGATCCAAACTCAGTTACGAAGTAACGTGAGCATTACAGAGCTATACCCAATAACTTGTATTTTCCTCAATGCCAATATGGGCTACCTTCTAATGTTACTTGATAATTTATAAGGATAACTGAATTCTGTACAGTGAGCATGTAACACTGTTAACATCCAGTGTTTCTCTGCATTAGTTTGGTTCGCCACCAAAATACTGTTAAACTAGCACACTGGCACCCATCTTCTGGGCGAACTTGTCCATTTTACTCTGTACTGGAGAGCAGATCTCACGTAGTGGAATTTTTATTTTCATTGAAAATGTACATTGTAATCTTTCCAAATGGTGTTCAAAGTATTTATGTGTGCTGTTAATTAGTCGGTGATGTTCTGTATGTATAGCATACTAGTTAATTAAGTGCAATCTTTTCTATTGTATCTGTTTTTGAATGAACCATAAATTAGAATAATTGTATAAAAGGAATGGTCAATAAGGGTGAAGCAATAAAAAAAACCTCACAAAGCATGAGAAAAGAGTGAAAATACAATAATTTGCTCTTTATTTGCTCTTTTATTTGCAATCTATTTATTTTAATTATCACAATATTCAACAACATCAGTTTTCGGCTCAAGGCTAACACTAACTATACTATAGCATACTATATTACACTATACTATACTATACTATCTATATAAACAGTATAGATTACATACGTTTAACTATGTGCATTATATTAGAAAGTAGTGCTATTAAATGAATTGCCAAGCAGAATGTTCAGCTTTGTTCTTGGCTTTTCTGTGTTCTTATGGACTTTGATTCATTCCATTAGAACTCCAGAAGGCCTCCTCTTTCACTCTCACACTCCAAATGACTGTTGTGCTTGATGCATGGCTCTGGGTTGAGAGCTCTTTAAACCCACGCGTTCACCCCGGCTTTTGTCCCCACTAAGCAGGTTTGAATTAATTAAAGGGGAACTGCATTATTCACAAGATTCCCACCAGCTCCCGTGGGGGGTGACTGGCCCGTGAGAGGCCAAGATGAGAATAGTCAGCTTGTTGTTTTGAAATGCACTGAATATTCTCCTCCTTCATGTGTTTAACCTTATGCTGTGAGCGCCTCTGTGTTTGTGAATGTCTCTGTGTTCTCCGAAAGCTGTTTATGGTGGCATACGTGTTTCTGAGCTGCATGAAGGGAAGAAAGAAAAGCACAATGTGACCTGGTGGTGGTCTGTTATTGTTCCTAATACAGTTCCTTCATCAGCTCTTAATACTCTTGCATAATCATTTCCAACTAATCTGTATGAAAGTAACTTATAATGGGCACATAAAGGCTTATTTTAAAAAAGGCTGACAAGGATGAATGGCAATAGTGAGGCTGTTTCAACAAAAGCATTCATGTGAACAGTGTGGGCCAGTCTTAATAGAGATTACAGTAATGGCTTTCCTAGAAAACAAAGGCATTTTAACTCTCCTTAAGATGACAGAATGTGCGAGGCAGAGACAGTCAGGCTGTGTGTGTGCGTCTGTTAGAAAGAGTGATAGATAATAATGTCAGGAACAATTTGCTGGTGCCTTGAAAAGCTGAAAAGTGAGAGTGAAAACAGAAGGAAAGGGAAAAACAAGGAGACTTATCATAAAAGATAATACTATAATTGACCTCTCCACAACTGCTGTTGCAAGCATAGACAAGCTTTATACAATGTTAGTAAAAATCCCATTGATGAGAAACTGCAGCAGTCTTTCTTTAGAGTCACTACATTGATGGCACAATGTATTAAGCTTTTTGCCGCTGTTTGAGGCACAAATCAGATGTGTTTGGCCCATGAGTTATGTACAAAACTGCTGCACAAGCCGTAAATGCAAAGTAAATGCAAAGTTAAAGTTAGTTACGGTAAAATTTGTTTGAATTTGAAGGGCTGCGCAAAGTGTGGGGGGGTAGTGCAAAAAGTACATATTCCTCTGAATTT